TTGTTCTATGTGATTAAGCAAGAAAAAGAACACTGAGAGTTTGTTAACCCGAACTTTGTTTCCTACTATCCGGGGAGAGAATCAAAACTCTCATGCTTTGGCTATGATCAACCCAAGACAAATAGTGACTGATCTCTTCTGATCTTTGCAGGTATTACAAGAACCTATACAAGATGTATACCGGAGAAGATTACCACACGAAAATGACTCGCTATCAACCTCTAAGTCCTCCGATGACGAGAACTAGCGATCTTGAACATGAGAAAGTGCAATGATCACAAGAGTTGTGATCATGTCTGGATCTCTCTATCTCGATATTTTTCTTTCTCCTTCCTCTGTGTGTAATCTCTCTCTCTCTCTACTCTGCTTCTTCTGTTACTCGCTTCTCTCTCTCTAGCTCGAGTGAAAAAGACGATCTCTAACGGCCAATGGGTCTTACTTGTAACAGACATAAAACGCTACCACTTTCAGTTTAAGTATACTTTATGATAATACTCAGACCTTAAACGGATTTACCTAAGAGTTATTCTTAGGTTCACCCCCTAGGATGGTGTTATTTCATATTTGATATATTTTCTAAAATGAAATAAAATCTTGTTAAGTTATATTATGTTTTTAAAATAAAAATAATAATATTAAAAAAATGAAAAAAATATTTAATACTAAAACACTAAACCCTAAACACTAATCCTAAACCCTAAACCCTAATACTAAACCCTAAACCCTAATCCTAGACCCTAAACCCTTGGATAAATCATAAACCCTTTGGAAAAATCTTAACCCTTGGGTAAATTAATACTAACCAATTATACTGTTTTTATTTATTTATTTTTTTATTTTAAAACATGTTTTTATTTTAAAGGTATATTAAAATATTTTTTTTTAAATTGTTTTTTGCAATTATTACTGTTTTATTTTATTTTTATCTTTTATTTTAAAATATAATATAATGTTAAAATATATTTTTAAAGATTTTTTTCCGTTTTCTGTAAACATTATTATTCTTATTTATTTTTTTCTAATTTTATTTTTAAAACATAATATAACTTGACAAGATTTTGTTTCCTTTTTTAAAGATATCAAATATGAAATAACACCATCCTATTGGTTGGTGAACCTAGGGTGAACCTAAGAATAAGTATTTACCTAATCCTCATTGGGAAAATTGTCATTTAAATCACGAACTTTTAAATTTGGTTGAAAAAAAGCATGAATTTTGCCTTAGACCATTTAAAACACCAACTTAGTTTGAATAACCATTTTAAACCTCAATTTAGTTTGACTAAATCAAATTAGACACGACGTTAACTCGAGTAACAGATTGATTAGACGGGGTTAGTCGCCGTCTCTAATATGCCGTTAAGTTAAAATGGCGTCGTTTTAAAAAATTTAAAAATATTGCATCAAAGGGAATTGAACCCGTGACCAAAGAAATGCTTGTTCCAACACAGAACCACTAGGCCACTCACACTTTACTTAATACAAATGAAGACTAATAAGTATTATTATAAAACCTCCAAATCATTTTCTCCAACCCTATATCCCTAAATGATTTTATAACTTTAAAATTAATAATAAATAATTAAAAAAATCGTCAAAATATTAGTAAAAATATTAAAACTTATAATAATTATTAAGTTATTTATAAGTAGTATTAAAGATATTTAATAACGAATTTTTTTAGTCATTAAGTATTATTGAATATCTAATTATTAATTATTAAGTATTTTTAATTATTGAAGAAAACTATTTAATTATTAAGTATTATTGAATAATTAATTATTAAATAATAACGAAAATTTTCAATCATTAAGTATTACTGAATAATTTATTAATTATTGAATTAAATTATTTAATTATTAGGTTATTTATAAATTTTTTAAGTTAATCCCTAAATGATTTTATAAAAATTAAAATTTATAAATAACTTAATAATTAAATAATTTAATTCAATAATTGATAAATTATTCAATAATACTTAATGATTGAAATTTTTTGTTATTATTTAATAATTAATTATTCAATAATACTTAATAATTAAATAATTTTATTCAATAATACTTAATGATTAAAAAAATCGTTATTTAATATTTTTAATACTACTTATAAATAACTTAATAATTATTATAAGTTTTAATATTTTTACGAATATTTTTATGATTTTTTAATTATTTATTATAAATATTAAAGTTTATAAAATCATTTAGGGATATAGGGTTGGAGAAAATGATTTGGAGGTTTTATAATAATACTGATTAGTCTTCTTTCATATTAAGTAAAGTGTGAGTGGGCTAGTGGTTCCGTGTTGGAACAAGTGTTCATTTGGTCACGGGTTTGATCATCTGTTGATGCAATATTTTTAAATTTTTTAAAACGACGCCGTTTTGATTTAACGGCAGATTAGAGACGGCGACTAACTCCGTCTAATCAATCCGTTATCTGAGTTAACGTCGTGTCTAATTTGGTTTAGTCAAACTAAATTGAGGTTTAAAATGGCTATTCAAACTAAGTTAGTGTTTTAAATGGTCCAAGGCAAAGTTCATGTTTTTTTTCAACCAAATTTGAAAGTTCGTGATTTAAATGACAACTAGGATAAGACCCGCGTCTTGCGCGGGATGAATCTATTATTTTTATTATGTTTTTACAATGAAACAATAGTTCGGTTTCATTCGGATTAGAGGTATTCAATCCGGATATCGGGTTTCAGTTTGGCTAGATTTTTTGGTATTTCAATCATTAAAATATAACTACTATTCTAAATCTATATGTACTTCAGTTTGATTTNAACTAGGATAAGACCCGCGTCTTGCGCGGGATGAATCTATTATTTTTATTATGTTTTTACAATGAAACAATAGTTCGGTTTCATTCGGATTAGAGGTATTCAATCCGGATATCGGGTTTCAGTTTGGCTAGATTTTTTGGTATTTCAATCATTAAAATATAACTACTATTCTAAATCTATATGTACTTCAGTTTGATTTGGTTTATATACCATCGGTTTTCAGTTTATTCAATTTTATACCAAAAAAACATAATAGTTTAGTTTGAGTTCATATTATATATTATAAAAATATATAATATGATCATATTTAGAGTCATATTGTCACAGAGTCATTTATTAAAAAATATTATATATTTAAATAAAAGAATAAAAAACAAAAAAGGCTTCTATCATCTAATAAAATGATCAAATCTAGAATTAATATCAAAACACTGAATTTTGAAAAAAAAAAACAGAAGCATGAAAGAAAAGTGTTTATATTCTTCCATATTTAGTGTTCATCAAACTAATGTCTTCGATTGAACACAACTCTGTTTGTTTAAAGATAAAAAAAAGTTGTAAAGAATTTCAAATAATTTGTTGTCCATCAAATTTATAATCTTTACTTCAATTTAGTTACTGTTAAAAAAACAAAAGATCAAAATAAGAAGTCGTAGTTGTAATAACTTGTTAGCTATTTACAAATTATAATTATAGTTCAACTCATGTTACAAATAGATATTCATGCGTCGTTATAAATATATACATATTTACATGTTTCAGTTCAATCGATTATAAATCAAACCATATCCAAATCCTATGGATTTTATAAAATCACATTCATTCGGTTTGTATGGTATATACCAAAAATAACCATATTATCGATTGTTAATATCTTTTAAAATATAAAATTAAAAAAAGAACTAAGATATTTAAATCATTGATAACAAAAAAGTTCAATGTGAAAAATTTAATAAGTTTATAATTTATAAATGTTCTTGAAAATTTATTGAAAATTTTGAAATTAAAATATTTATGTAATCTTATATGGTATATAGTTTAATCTGTATATATATTTGTTTTATTATTATATGATACTTTTTACTTATATGGTTTTAAAATCATGTATATCTTTTTATAATAAAATGTTAAACTATTGATCATTAATTTTTAACATAATAATTTTAATAGTTTAGTTATTTATTCTCGTTTCTTAAAATTCAAAATATAACCTATACGAAAAAATCTAAAGTTTAATTTTATAGCTAATTTGATTGTTTAATTTATTTTNAGAAAAATGATGGAGGATATATAAACTGTTATCAAATATTTATTATTAGAATCATTAAGTGTAATATATATATATTAGTCATTTATGGTAATTCGGTAGGTTTTATTTATGGAAATAAAATAAAATAGTAATTATATCTTAGGGAACAATCATTAATTGTCATATATATATTTGTCATTTATGGTAATTCCGTAAGTTTATTTATGGAAATAAAATAATATATCATATCATTATATTATATAGTTTGACTAACTAATGTATCTAGCAACCTATAAAAATCCAATGTGGACTTACTTATTTTTCAATTGAATCTAATTGACTATCTAATTGAATGACACCTATGCATTGAGGCCTCTTTTAATTAATACAAAATTGAGGTTACATCTTTTCAAATGTTCCTCAATTAATATATAGGGGATTTTCCCAATCCTCATTGAACGTGTATATGCCCAAATTAACTGGCTATAATACGACCAAGTCGTATTGACTCGATCACAGCTTGCGGAAGAGTTGATGAAATTTGAGTCATCACTTACGGAAATTCCTCGTGAAATTCCGAAGGCAGACAGGTGTTGATGATAAACTCTTAAAGCAATGTGTTAGGAAATTAATGTAACTCTCTTTCACGACGTTGATTGTTGGGCCGATTTTGTACCACATCGATCTCTTCCTTACTTACGGGCTTTACAAAAAGTTGACCCAAAATATAAGGAAGGGAGCCTAAAGCATCGGCTCAAGTGGAGACCAGTAACCATGCGTTATCGTAATACGATAAGATAAGATAACATTTCTACCACGTGGCATTTTCATTATGGTCAAGTATCGATAAGGGTATCAACACCGTTCATTAATCCTGTGGCTGTTAACGACGATATCATGAAATATCTATAAGGGTTCCTCACTCTATATAGATGACCGAAGCAATAGACTAACAGTAAGAGTTAAGAGAACGAAGTAGTCATGGCTTACTCTATGCTCTCCTCCGCCGCTGTAGTTACCTCACCGGCTCAAGCCAACATGGTCGCTCCATTTACCGGCTTGAAGTCAGCCGCTGCATTCCCAGTCACCCGCAAGGCCAACAACGACATTACTTCCATCGTTAGCAACGGAGGAAGAGTTAGCTGCATGAAGGTAATTGTCACTAGAGAAGCTGGAGTTAAGCTTGTCTTTTATTAAACGCAACTGGTACATTCGAACAGAATCATATTCCAATATATATGTATATACACGTAGGATCGTTAAAAGGTCTAACAGAATATACGAAAGTCTTTTTCAAAAAAAAAGAATATGCGAAAGTGAACTAATATTCGGTAACTGGTAATACGATTTGTAGGTGTGGCCACCAATTGGAAAGAAGAAGTTTGAGACCCTCTCTTACCTTCCTGACCTTACCGATGTTGAATTGGCTAAGGAAGTTGACTACCTTCTCCGCAACAAGTGGATTCCTTGTGTTGAATTCGAGTTGGAGGTAATTAAAAACATTAGTTTTGTTTTCTTGGATCTAAACATCTTTTATTACACAATGTCAATCCTAATTTTGATTGGAATTCTCATGTGTGTATAGCACGGATTTGTGTACCGTGAGCACGGAAGCACACCCGGTTACTACGATGGCCGTTACTGGACAATGTGGAAGCTTCCCTTGTTCGGATGCACCGACTCTGCTCAAGTGTTGAAGGAAGTCCAAGAGTGCAAAAAGGAGTACCCTAATGCCTTCATCAGAATCATCGGATTTGACAACACCCGTCAAGTCCAGTGCATCAGTTTCATCGCCTACAAGCCACCAAGCTTCACCGATGCTTAATTCGCTTTCATATAATAATAATATCTTCTCACTTCGTTTCCAATAAGTCTGTTTCCTTTTTTTTTTCTCTTTGGATTTCTGTTTATGAGACTTTATATATCGGATTGTAAAATGTCTGATTTATGAACATGTAATTTCTATATTGCTTCTTCTTCTTGGTTACTTTCAGATGGCTATTAGGTTTCCAATTAACTGGGACAAGAACCACAGTCAAATTAACTGTACAAAACCGGTTAGATAATTAAGGTTAGTGGTAATATTTTTTTAGATTAGGAAAACATTACTACCTAGGAAAGAATAAGTCATACGGAGTTAATTAGTTCATCATAGATTCAAATAACAATCATTTTATGGTCATATTCACAGATTTCAGGCAAATAGTAGTCATCATTTGATGTTTCACACTTGGTGCATTATCATTGCAAGTAAGATACATATAGATATGGATCTCTATTTTTTATTCTTTTATAACTGTTTTGAAAAATTAACTAAATTTCAACTTATCAAAGTGATTTCCTAGAAAATGTTATGCATGTGAATATCACTCACACGCATAGTTAATCCCTGGAAAAAAAGGATAACACACTTGAAATCTATGATAGACACGTTTGTGGACGCACCATACCTAAGATAGGCATGATGATAACAGTGGAGATTTCCTTCTATAAAATTTCTTTTACGTCTAAAGAAATTCAATCATTTTCGAAATATGACAGTTATGACAGGCGTTGGAGTTTAAATAGGAAAAATACCGTAAAAGAAAGCTCTACATAATTAAAGTAGTAGAAACATATCAACTACACCACGGCAATCATCATCTTTTGTTTTCAAACAAATTTATGAGCCTTGAGCCATCTAGGAGCCCCTTGATACTCACATATGAAGATAGACAAGATCTTTCAGTACACTTCAGGCAATTTCAAACGCTCTTTTGGTTTATTGAGATCTTTGATGATGTCAAGTGATGTAGAATCAAAGATCATATTTAGACTTCTCATACTTTCAAGAGTTCATTTCCAGCTTTTAATTTTGGTAAAAAAACAGAGAGCTTACCTGTGAATAAGACCAGCGACTATGATGGAGGACATGACCAGTAGCACCCATGATTCTCCTGTTAATTGTTTGGAATCTGGCCTGGAGAACCCTATATTGCATTTGACCTGGTTTATATCTAGTGGCATCTATGTAATTTACATTCTAGTTCTAAACTTTAATATAAATTAATTAATCGTAAAATTTTATATTGATAAATACTACATACACATTAATAATACAAAAGAAAAAAATTATTATTCATATATATATATATATATATAAATATTTATATTTTAGATAAATTAATTTAAATTTTAACATATTTATGTATTTTATGTACAGTAATAACATATATGTAAAATATGTTCGAATATTTGGTCAAAATATATTTTATAAATGTTAAAATGATACAAACATTAATATTAATACAAGTATATGTAAATAAAGACTAAAAGGAACAATAAATAGTGTTTTGTGGCAAATAGTACGTGGAACATTAAATTTGAGGTTTCATTATTTATATCTTGAAAATTTCAAGATTTTATTGTTCATTTTAGTCTTTATTTACATATATACTTTAGTGGTTGTTCTGTTCTGGTCTGTTTACCCAAACGACTTCAAAATTAAGCAATAAAATAACTTTTTGATGCCAAAAAGAAAACAAGTAGTAAAAAGTAATAACAAACCTCACGTTTCTAAAATATGTAATTTCATATATATTACACTATATTAAATTTTAATCATAAATATACTATTTTCTAAATAATTATCTCTCATAATTTTAAATTAATAAAAATGTAAGAAATAACATTGATTTTTATAAAAATATTTATCCTTACTAACTAATAGAAATAGAAAAAAATCAAATGCATATTTCGAAAAACTATCTTTTAGAAAATAAATATTTATTTTTATATCAAAATTAATATGCAAATGTCAACCATAAAACTGGGGACAACAACTTTTATTACTGGTTTGGAGTTGTATATCTTTTTCAGTGTTTTTACGCCCGATCCGGACTCATGGTCAGACCGCCAAACCCCAATGACACGCTAAATAATGCGATTTAGATTTTTAAAATATCCGCTTATAAAAATTTGATAAAATTCGCTAAAACTCTTAAAACATGCAACCAGGCTACTAGTTCTATTGAATAATTTGTATTTAGTTTTTTCTTAGTTCTTAACTGAGTTATTAAATATGTTTTGTATTTCAAATAATTTGTTGGGTTTTCATTTAACTTTTGAATTCTCGTGAAATTTATAGTTTTCCTTGCTATCACATATACTCTATCTATATCTCCTTCAATTTTCTTTTTAAAAAATTTCTGATTTTGTTTATGGTGAATATCATTTGTTTCAGCCTTCTATGTTCTTATTTCTTCATATATAAACTGTGTTTTTATTCTTTTCTTGAATCACATGATTTTATCTTGTTTTCTTGATTTTACATGTTTCTAAATAAATTATATTATGATGTGAATCAAATTCGCTGATCTTATCAACTTTTTAAAATCATTTGTAATATCGTGTAAACTATTTTCTTGTGATATTTAGATTTTGATAACATTCACTATCCCTACAGAAGAAAATATAGTGAACAATGATAGGTATCTAATGCTATGAGATTTAAGTTTTGCTTTGTTTTACTTTATGTCCCAACTCTTAATTTCTCACAAAGAAATTTTTTAATAATTTAATATATTAAAATATATTAATTGAAATAAAAATAAAATAAAATAAAAGAAAATAAAGAGACAAAATATATAAATATTTTTTCTATTTTTTTAAATGTCAATTTTCTCCTATATTTTTAATTGCTAAGATATAAATATATATTAATATTAACTAATTTATTCACCTGTGATTTGCTAGCGGTCAATCCAATAACTCGGTGACATGGAAAGTCGTCATGTTCAATGTCCGGATCGAGTTTAAAAACACTGTTCTTCTTGTTATCTGGATTCATCGCTGTGAGGCTGAAATGATTATTACTCAACATGTAAACCCTCTAATGATCAGATCCACCAAGTGGCTGACCATCCTTACCCGGCATGGATTATATACACCATGTGGACCGAAACAAACCATCTTACATAGTCAACAATTAAAACCAACTGACTTGTTAATCACTCACATTAGTCTATATTTGAATCACTAGTTTAAGACCCTCCGAATCAAAACTTATATTATAAGAAGAGTTTTGAGATCACCTTATAGATAACATTTCTTTTTTTGAACGGCACCTTATAGATAACATTACAACAAGATATTGGCCTACAATCTCTAGTCTCAGTGACATCTGTTTTTCGGTAGCAAAGCTAAGATCATAGATTTAATTCTTTTTGTAGAAATCTTATGATGAAGAAATCTGGACTGGAACTAAAAACTCTTACCCCAAAAAAATATCATATAGAGCACTGAATCCGTTTGGTCCCGGTGATTTGTTACTTGGCACAGAGAAGAGTACACCTTTAATTTCTTCCAGCGTAATCGGCCATGGCAAGAGCTGTGAATCATGTTCTGAGGTTCAGAAGGAAAGGATCTCTTGTAGATGCTCTACTTCAGTTCCATCAAAATCCTCTAGTCGGTGTTGGAGGAAATCACGAAAAAACACTCCACTTCCACCTTTGTTTCATTTTCACACTTGACCCGAGTTCCATCTTGACAACGAACTTCTGTGATACAGTTTATTGTTTGCCTGGTACTGTAGCTCTATGATATGTTCTGATCACACACTGTTAACCATGTAGTTCTGACCTTTATTTTAGAATTTCTCTTCCAATCCAGCCACTTATTTTCATTCTCAAAAGCTTCAGTTTCCATCTGCTGTGAGTGGTAGTAAATATTTGTCTGTTTTTTTTTTGACATAGATCATCATGTGCTTCACGTATTTCTTAACTAGATTACACATCATTTCTTTGGACAGATTCCTAAATAAAGGGGGGGGGGGTTAAGGAGAGTAGAATCTATGCATAGTTGGCTGATTTGAAAAGTTAAGAAAAAATTGTAAAGATCATCAAACAATCATCAAACCAATAACAATAGATTTTAGTTAGAATATTAGAATCCACTCATCAATTACAATAGAATCTGAGAATTTTTAACACACTATAAATTCATATCCTACTAAACCCTCCTAAAGGTTTCAGGGTTTTGAGTTTTTTTTTCCGTGAATCAGGCATGGACAATGTAGAGAGGAAGAACTGTTATGAATCTGCCCATAAATATTTTACCAAGGGCTAGAAATCTTCAAGTGCAGTGACTGCATTCAAAAATTCCAATGGTTTGTGTTTAGTATTGTTGGTGAGGTATCAAAATTTGAATGCTCATCCATGTCAAAAGATTCGTTGAAACCCCATATATCATCCATTATTTTGAACTAATGATTGAATAATTACGATGATCACAAATCCCTTCATAGCTCCCTCATGTCTTCTACTAAAATGGAAGCTTAAACGAATGAGAAAATATCTCCTCCTCTTCCATCGCGTCAAAATTCACTAAACAAGTGACAAGTTGACTACTCTTAAAGAAATAAGCATGCCTCACAAATGATATTCCATACAACCCACATCCTTCCTAAACGATTATGTTTATAGTTCGTTAGGATTTACCAATTTGGAAAAATAGGTTCCACCAATCTTGCAACTTTTGCTTCCTTCACTCTTGTTTCTATAAGAAAATCTATACCTCTCTTATAACCACATATTTATTCATTTTGTTTCATAGATTTCTTCAAGCCATAAACATTCTAAAAGAAGTCAGATATAGTCAATATTTATGGTTATACATATTCTGCTAGTCTCACTTGGTTTTGCATCCCTAGTGACCACAACATGAGATTTAAAGCTAACGTGTTGAGCTACCTTTGCAGATCGGATTGGTTTATTTGCCTTTCTTTCCAGACGTTATAGTATTGAAGTTTCATCAACCTTCTGTCATATATTTTTCCTCATCTACATCTTTTCTCCAGATTGTTTTGCTCACCTTTTTTCTCCTCCAATTCCTCAGGGGTGGTTGTCTAACCATCATCTCAGCTAACCATTAAACACGTGAGGGGGGAGATTATTGTCTGCGGATCTAGCTTCTTGTCAGCTGACCTTCTTACCCCGGTGAGATGTGCAATCAATTCCCTTCCTCTTTTTTATTAGTGAAATATTAATTATGATTCTTAAATGAAAAGAGTTATCAGTTAATGGATTTTTCATGATTCCTTATATTTATAATAAAGATCTTCAAATAAATTTATATAATTTTTAGAAATTTGTTACTGTTAAGAAATGGAAATAGTGGTTGGGCCATATCCGGGAAATGGACCAGCTCGTCCTAGATCAGTCCCACACGGCCAGCTTGTCTTTATCCATGCGGCCAAGCAGACTCGTCCTTATCCTCCTGGTGTTTATCTTTATATGTTGTAGTTATCCTAATCCAAATAAGATTAAGATTATCTCTTTACTTGTAATCCTTATCTACTTAGGTTTAGGATTATCTAGAGAGTTAAAGTCAGTTTATGTACCCATATATATGGGGTCGATATGCTTAATGAGAATACACAAGTTACAAGTTTACAAACCTTTTATTCTATAACACGTTATCAGCACGATAGCCCCTACCCTAAGAACTAAAAACCCGATCTCACCAAAACCCTAGCTCGTGTTCTCTCTTCCATACTTGGCCTGAATCTCTACCTCTGAAATTCAAATCTAAATTTCAGGTTTGTAGCTGCAGAAACCAGAGTCACCTTCAAATCCATCCGACCTCACTCTAGTCAGATTCAACCGTACGCCCTAAGGAAGTACAGTTAGAACCATTGAAGATTTGAGAAAAAAAAAGGAATGGATACATTTGTGGTGGACAGTGGAACCAGCCACACCATTTTGAGAGAAAAGATATTTTATAAGCCTTACTCATAAGGCCGGCAATGTCTCAACCATAGCAGGAATGGCCAGCCTTATTGAAGGCCACGGCCAAGCCCATATTCTATTGGTACTCATCTTGAAATATCAGATGCATTGTATTCACCAAGTTCTAATAGAAGCCTGTTGAGTTTCAAAGACATTAGATTGAATGGTTTCCATGTTGAAACAATGGGTGAAGGAAATAAAGAGTTCCTTCAGATTTATGAAATCACCCAAGGCAATAAGAGAGTCTTAGAGACTATACCTGCGTGTAGGACCGGTCTTTACTATGCCAAGACCAGTCTGGTTGAGGCCAATGTCGTGATGAACAATGAGTTCAAAGAACAATTCACTCTTTGGCATAACCGGTTAGGCCACCCCGGTTCAAACATGATGTGAAAACTCATAATAAATTCAAATGGGCACAGTTTGAAAACAAAAGAGTTATCCCTAAAGATCTCACATGTGATGAAGCATGCTCACAAGGGAAACTAATCACTAGGCCATCACCAGCAAAAGTGAATAAGGAAGTGATAAATTTTCTGGAAAGGATACAAGTAGATATATGTGGACCTATACACCCACCCTGTGGGACATTTAGATATTTTATGGTCCTAATTGATGCATCCACGAGATGGTCACATGTTTGTCTCCTATCCACATGCAATTTAGCTCTTGCAAGATTGCTAGCTCAGATCATAAGAATTAGAGCACACTTTCCAGACTTTCCTTTAAAGACTATACGTCTTGACAATGCTAGTGAGTTTACGTCCCACGCTGTTAATGACTATTGTATGTCTTTGGGAGTGAGTGTGGAACATAGTGTACCTCATTTACACACCCAGAATGGTCTGTCCGAGTCCTTTATTAAACGGATTCAGCTGATAGCCAGACCACTATTAATGAGATCCAAACTCCCGGTCTCAGCTTGGGGACATGCAGTTTTGCATGCTTCTGAATTGATTCGCATCAGGCCATCTAGTGAGCATATATACTCACCATCCCAGTTGTTAACGGGTCATGAGTCAGACATTTCCCATCTAAAAACGTTTGGATGTACCGTCTAAGTGCCTATAGCACCACCACAGAGAACAAAGATGGGACCTCAGAGGAGGATGTGAGTATATGTTGGATACGATTCCCCCAAAATAATAAAATACCTTGAGCCAACCACGGGTGATATATTTAAGGCCAGGTTTCCGGATTGTCATTCTGATGAATCCCAGTATCCAGCATTAGAGGGAGATAATGGTAAGCTGGATCAGTATATAAAGTGGAATCAAACATCCTTAACATGGCAAGATCCTCGGACACAATATTGTGATCTAGAACCAGAAAATAATACATTTGCAATAGCTAATCAGTTGCATGATTCCTTTGACCCAAATAGAGTGAGTAAGTCATATATACCAGCTGCCAATGCACCTATAAGAATTGATGTCCAAGAGAGAAAAATTCAAGTTGCTAATGAGTCTAGACAACAATTGAAACGTGGTAGACCAATAGGTTCAAAGGATAAGAACCCTCGGAAGTCCAAGATAGGTGCTGGATCCGTGGGCCATAAGGAAACCATCCAGGACATTAGTGGACCGGCCGTACCGGTTGTGCCGACCAGTTTGGTCGAGCCATGTGAGCCGGACGGGCCAAGCAGGCCGTACGAGCCAAGTGGGACGGACGGGCCGATAGTGCTATGACCTTCAGATTTTTAATAAGTCTGGCCATGAGAGAAGGTCTAGATCTAAGGCCAATGGATGTTGTAACAGCCTACTTGTATGGTCCACTGGATAATGATATATATATATATATATATATGAAAATCCCAGATGGTATTGAATTGAAAAACAAAGATAGTTCTCAAGAAAAACATTGTATCAGATTGAACAAGGCTCTTTATGGATTGAAAAAATCAGGTTGAATGTGGCACAACAGACTGAGTGAGTACCTTGTGAAAGAAGGATATAAAAACAACCAGATATGTCCTTGTATATTCATAAAGAAGTTCAATAAGGGCTTTGTAATCATTGCAGTCTATGTAGATGATTTAAATATCGTAGGAACCTCTGGAGAGATTTTCCAAACAATAGAATATCTAAAGAAAGAATTTGAAATGAAAGATCTTGGAAAAACAAAGTTTTGTTTGGGTTTACAACTTGAGTATATGAAAGATGGAATCCTTGTACATCAAATGGCATGTACAGAAAATGTACTAAAGAAGTTTAATATGGACATATCTCACCCATTAAGCAGCCCCATGGTCATGAGAAGCCTAGAACCAGATACTGATCTGTTTGGTCCAAAGAAGGACGATGAAGAGGTCATTGGTCCCGAAATGCCATATCTCAGTGCCATAGGAGCTCTGATGTACTTGGCCTGTCACAGTAGGCCAGATATCAGCTTTGCCGTGAACTTGTTATCAAGATTCAGCTCTTGTCTGACCCAAAGGCACTGGAACGGGATAAAACATATACTTTGTTATTTACAAGGGACGAAGGATTTGGGTTTATTATACACTAACCAAACTAAGGATGGGTTTAGTTTGTTTTGCTGATGCAGGTTACTTATCAAATCTTCATTGTGGTAGATCTCAGACTGGTTATGTCTACACATATGGTGGAACAGCAATTGCTTGGCGTTCCATGAAGCATACCATGACGGCCACTTCATCCAACCATGCGGAGATCCTGGCCATACATGAGGCCAGCCGTGAAAGTGTATGGATCAAGGCCATGACCAACCATATCCGGACCACATGTGGTATGACCAAAGAGAAAGAGCCACCACTCGTGATTTATGAACACAATGCGGCCTGCATAGCTCAGCTCAAAGATGGTTACATAAAAGGCGACAAGACTAGGCACATATTTCCTAAGTTCTTCTTCACACATGATCTTCAGAAGGCTGGCGAGGTTCAAGTCTTGCAAGTACATTCAAGTGAGAATTCAGCTGATCTCTTCACCAAGTCATTGCCAACCTCGACCTTCAGGAAGCTAATCCATAAGATTGGGAAGTCAGCTGAATGACCTTCAGTGATGCATTCGTCAGGGGGAGATTCATGTGTTGTGCTCTTTTTTCTTGTCCTTGGTTTCCTCTTTTTACCACATAGGGTTTTGGGGTTTTCCAGGAGAGGTTTTAATGAGGCAACATCAAAAGCATGAAATGAACCTTGACCGGATATATCAACCAAGGGGGAGTGTTAAGAAATTGAAATGGTGGTTGGGCCATATATATGAAATGGACCAACTCGTCCTAGATCAATCCCACACGGCCAGCTTGTCCTTATCCATGCGGCCAAGCAAACTCGTCCTTATCCTCTTGGTGTTTATCTTTAAATGTTGTAGTTATCCTCATCCATAGGATTAGGATTATCTCTTTACTTGTAATCGTTATCTACTTAGGTTTAGGATTATCTAAAGAGTTAAAGTCGGTTTATGTACCCATATATATATGGGGTCGATATGCTTAATGAGAATACACAAGTTACAAGTTTATGAACTTTCTATTCCATAGTTAGAAGAGTTTTTCTGCATTTAAAGACAAATAAATTTTATCAAAAGGTTTGAAGATCCAAAATGTTCCCACATCCAAAATGGAAACTCTTAGTGTAGGAACATTTTTTGGATCAAAAGGTATTAACATTAACTCGTCCAGTTTAATAATCCAATAAACTGAAGACTAAAATCTCCATTTCCTTAATTTACATAATCTGCGTTTTTTTTTATTAGGGGCTAAACCCAACCCTTGTGCCAAAAAGAGAGAGGCTAAACCGAACCCAAACAAAGGAGGAACATCTAGCAAGTATGCGAACATGGGTTCTGGGCTTTAGGTAATAGTTTATAGACTCTTTAAGGTTCGAATATCCAAATGTTTGTTGGATCTGGATTCGGAGATCCTATATCCCTAGTGCTAGAAGAGCCGGCCCGGAACAAAATATAAAACAAGGGCGGTCTCTTGCTTGTAGTCTACAAAGAAAAAATTCCGGAGAGAGAGAGAATAGCGGTTCTGAATCTAAGCTATGTCGGATCCTTACGAGAGGGTGAAGGGTGGAAGGTTAGCGTTTAAAGGAGGCGATCTAGCCAAGATCAAGAAGAATAAGAAGCCAAAGAAGAAGAAGGAAAAGCTCGACGGCGCCAGTGTGGAAAAGATGGCTCCCGACGGTGCAGCCACTTCCTCTGCCCCAGATGTTAAAGACGATCTCTACTCTATCGACGCCGCGAAGAAGAGGAAGTACGATGAGCTTTTCCCCGTGGAGGCAAAGAAGTTCGGTTACGTTCCCAAATCAAACTTCGATTCGGTGGCAGAGGCTCTCGACGATCGAGTCAAGAAGAAGGCCGACCGCTACTGTAAATAGAATCTTATGCATCTCCTTTGTTGAATCTACTGAACTTTATTTGGGTTTCGGTACTCTATCGTAAGCTATTTGGCAGATAATTGCATTGAATCTATTCTATTTTCTTCTGTTTGAAACTGGTTAATTTGAAATCAAAAGTACTGGTATTTGGTATTTTCTTTTGAATTGCAGATAACAGATGGGACAATATGTTCGTGGCATATGTATAAAAATGTGTGAAATCTCTCTAGGTTTTGCGAGTAAATATTGTAGCTTCTGTGTATTTCAAACCAGTCATATATTTGTTTCAGAAGCTACTTGATCCAGTTTTAGTGTTATGGTTGAATAATCCATTTGTTGTAAATGGTTTTGCTCAATGCATTTGCTTCCCTCTGGTAATGGTTGAGTCCAAGTAGCTTAAAGGATATTACAGTGAGGCCATTGCGACTGAACTGCAGGAAGAATCAGAGAGATAAGTTCAGTTTATTTAAGGTTACTGTCTTTCTCCTTCAATTAATTTCAGTTTAGTTAAGGTTACTATCATATCTCAGAAGAAAACATTGTTACCCACCCCTAGCATGAAAGTAAAACGTTTATTATTTTTTCACAGCTTCTATACATATGTTCTTAGCAAATGATAGACACTTTATATCTCTCGTGTTCCCCCCTGAACTATTAAGGTTTAGCTCCTGTTACCTCGAGTGTTCCTCTGTGCTGTTTCTTCTGGACTAACCCTCTGATACCTTCCTCTAAAAGGCCCAATGTTCCAGAGTTGCACCCACCTAGAACGCCTTCTTTCAGGTATCCCTTCTCTAACAGAATCGCCCCTTTCCTGAGAATCTGTACTAGTGGTGTTGACCGAAGGCAGATCACGGCGGCAAATTGGGCATGAATTGTGAAGCCTTAGCCATGGAGTTATACAGTTTTTATGGTAAATATGTTTACATGGTAGTTCGGTAGCTTCCCCGCCAACAGTGAAGTCTTCCATGCACACTGTGCATTGGGATGTGTCATTGGTTAGATGTTTCGATGTAATCTTTACGGTTGGTAGCGCATCAATGGTGGGTTCTGGTGCAGGTGGTGGTCCAGGCCTATCGTCTTGTGTTAGCTGTTCGATCAGCTGTTCTAAGCCTGATCCTCCAGTAAAGAAATCATGTGGGTTCATACGTCTGGGTGGTGCTGGCTCAATCCTGTTTCCAAGTGGATTGGTTGGATCAGTGGGCCGTAGTATTACATATGTTCTTCTTGGTGGAGGTAGTAAACTGCCGTTGTTATCATTGTCAAGGCTGTGGCGTCGTCGATGGTGGGGTAGGGGTGTTGGTCCCTGTTCCACGTTTCTGGATCTTGCCCTGACAAATGGGTCTTCACCGAATCTACCTATGATTGGAGTATCAAACATGAGTGATAGAGCTTCGAGAAGACGTGCGTCAGGAGAAGCATCGAAAGGTGGAACGGCATGAGTGAAAGCGATTCGAGGCCGTCTCATCTCGATTTCTACAACAAATTGCCTTAAGCATCGAGGGCACGCGATCTCTGAGGGGTTAGATGATGCAATCCTGACCGTACGATGACAATGGTAGCACCAGTAGAGGCCAAAAGTCCTGAATGCTCCATTGGGTACACCATCGGTCCGTCTTATTGGCAGACTTGATGACATGATTAGAAGAAGTAACTGTTATACATCAGACATAAATATTCACACATATATAGATAACCTTTGAAGGTTGTATGAAGCAACTAAGCCAGGCATATTCCGTTCCAACAGAGGTCGTGTTTTCTCTGGAAGGCAAAGAATGAGATGGACGAAGACGCAATGCTCATTTCTTCTGGTTTTTCTTATTCTGTTTAGATTGCCTCAACTTAAAGGCTAGAATCATTTATTGGATCCAGTCAATTAAAAAGATTGGCCTTACTGTTTAAAGATATAGAGAAAAAGAAACAATTGTCAAGTAAAAATATTTTTCTATAGAAGACAAAGCATGAGATGGATGACAACGCAATGCTCATTTCTTCTGGTTTTTCTATCCTTGCCTTAATTGGCTAGAATATTATATATTGGATCCAAACCCGTCTCGTTAAAGTAGGTTACCCATGATCCGAATAGTAACGGCGAATATAGTAATATAAGCGGGACGGATTTGAAATACGGGACGGTCCAATAGCGGATAAGTGCAGTTTTGATTTTAAAAATAGTGTGGTTTTGACAAAAAAAATGCGGTCTTGATAAAAAAAAATAATATAAATTAATGTATTAATATGAATTAAAATTAAAATTTGTTTAGTGAGAATGTAATATTTTTATAAAATTTTATAAATTTAAATATCAAAACTTATTTGAAATAAAAATAAAAATTTATATAATTTCTTTGTTTTCCTAATTTTTAAAACGAATTTAAAAAAAATAAATTTAAATAAATATATCTCAATTAATATATTTAAATAACAAAAATACAATACAATGGAAAAAGATTATCAAGTACTTTAATTTTTCCATAATATATATATATATATTACTTTTGGTTAACTTTATAAAATTTATTACTATTAAAAATAATTTGGTATAAATATATTGATATAAATTTTGGTTAGTTATATTTAAGAGTAATTAATGTAAAATTAATTTAACATTTTATAATTAAATAAACCAATTATAACAGTAAATATTAATTTTTGAGTTAAATAATAATAATAATAATAATAATAATAATAATAATAATAATAATAATAATCAGCCACAAAATCCAATTACACACCCAAAACCGCACCATATTTTAGGTGGGATAAAAAAAAAAATTTTAAAATTTTTTGGTCAAATGCGTTATTGACACAAAATCGACCCACTAATACAACTATTTATGAATGGCAACATTTTGTCAATTCCACTAATAATATATCAAATCCGCACCACACTTATGTTACCAATCAAAACCTTAGAGCAACTTCATCGGTCATATTCTCAAACTGAATATCTCAACCCAAATATATTTTTATTTTAATGTATTTTTGTTTGATAATTGAATTTTCTTTTTTATTAATAAACTAGCACCAATTAAAAGTTGACATATGGTATCATAAAATTCTTTAAAGTGTGTCAGAATTTCTCTGCATGCATCTTCATACATCTCGTATCTCTTCTCTCTCATGCATTTCAGTTCAAAAAGAAAAAGAAAACAAATATTGTGATACTCTCCTTGATACTTGGTTGGAGGTGCTCTTATCATTGTTATCGATCGACTACTGTTACAGATATTAATAATGGGTAATTTACCATTAGGATATTCTAAGCTTTTTCAAACTTCCAAACCCCAAAACTTATTCTATTTGACAAAGAGTATTTCCAAGAGCAAACTTATTTAAAGTCTAGTGAACCTCAATTAGGTTAAAAGGTTCTTTTCTCCAATGAAAATCTAATTAAAAATAAGTATTTACATAATGGTCCTTAACATTGATTGAAGTTAATAAGAATTACAAAACTATAAATAAGAAAACATATATGAAAAAGTATTTCAACCAATATTAAAGTTATATTATAGTAAACAAGAATTATAAAAGCATAAATTGCAAGTGAAATATCAAACTACTCAATATACAATTTATTGACTATTTGGTAATGTTTTAATACAAGATCAATTAATTAATTTATTAATTATATGTAGACTACGAGTTTAAATTTATCGAATCTGACGTTTCTATTTGTACACTATTTATGAAATATAAAAATATAAGGATCAAAATAATCAACATAAAAATTAACCTGATTATTTGAAAGATAACATAACTATAGGGAATGAAAAATACTAAACCGGTTAACGCTCTTGTATTTATTGGGTAATATTTGGTAAGATAACATACCGACCTCATATTGTGGGATAAAGTAATTAATATGGTTGATTTTACTATTACAATTATTAAAGAAAATTAATGACAAAATCTTAATAGAATTATATAGATTAATAACAATACTGTATAGTTAGAGAAAATAAAAGTAAGACAAAAAAATTAAGTCTAATGAAGAGGTCCAAACAACTTGAATAAGTAGATTTTTTTAAAACTCCTTTTCTTTTAGTAGTATTGATTATTGCATGCGTTTGAAATAAACTAAATTATCTATGAATACGAATATTTTCATCATCGGGATTATATATATATATTAATTTTCTTTCAAAAAGGTAATTTATAGTTGTATAAACTCTACAAAATCAATCCGGTCTTTATTGCTCCCCAATGGTGATATCATCTTTGACCCGGGACTGATGTGCCAGATTACTATTAAACACTTCCCATCATTCTTGCGCCTACTGTCTTGCCCCAATTCTGGGACTGATGTGCCAGATTACTATTAAACACTTCCCATCATTCTTGCGCCTACTGTCTTGCCCCAATTCTCCTCATCTTTCCTCTGGTTCCTCCAGTTGCAGTCTTTTCGCTTGAATCAACTACAAAAGAACACCGTTTCCTCACACCCTATTGATATGGAAATCTCAACAACCATTCTGAAACTAGATCTCAACAAATCTCCAGGTCCTGATGGTTATACCTCTGTGTTCTTAAAATCAGCATGGCCTATCATTGGAGAAAAAAAAATTCTACATTCAACTAATTCAATTCGTTACTGGTTTCCTTCCATCTTCCTCTAGTTCAACATTCCTTAGTCTTGTGCCTATAAAACCAGCAGCTTCAACTATTTTGGATTATAGCTTATTTCCTATTCTAATACGACGTACAAGGCAATTTCAAAGCTTCTGGTCAAGAGGATAAAGACAATGCTTCCCGAAGTTATCTTATCCAACTAAACTGGTTTAGTCAAAGGTCGGCTCCTCATTGAAAACACTCTACTTACATCTGCAATTTTCCATGGATATCACCAAAAAGAAGAAGAAGGTCCTAGACGTATAGCTGTTAAGGTAGACATAGCCAGCGCTTTCAATACAATAATATGGGAATTCATCTTCCAGTGTCTTTACGGGCTGGAAATACCAGAGATCTTCATCAGGTGGGTTCAAGCAAGCGTATGCACAACTTCATTTTCTATTGGATTCAATAGTTCTTTACACATGTACTTTAAAGGAAAAATAGGACTTCGACAATGTTACCCATTATCCCCTTACTTGTTTGTGCTTGCTATGAACTTCCTTTCTCATTCTCTTAACAGAGAGGCCTAGCTTGGTCATCTTCACTAACCTACTTGTGTTTTGCTGACGTTTTTCTAATTTTTTTGTGATGGAAATTTAAAGTCAGTCAACTCTATATTGGAGGATCTTCATGATTTTGAAAGTAGGACTGGTCTTGGGATAAGTCTGGAAAAGCCTCCATTTACTTTGATGGTCTGAAACGCATGAGCTAAATAGTATTAAGTCGTATACTGGTCTATCCTCAGGAATTCCGTCTTTCTGATATGTGGAAGTACCTCTTTGCACTAAAGAACTCTTCTTTAGCCATTGAGCCCCTCTCATTCAGTCTACAAAGTCAAAGTTTATGACTTCAACAATTAGATCCCTCTCTTTTTTCAGGAAGGTTCAAACTCATTTCTACAGCCATCTTGGGGATCATTAACTTTTAGTTCTCGGCGTATACCCTGCCTAAAGTTTGCTTATCATAAATTGGGTGTATTTGCGCTAATTTCCTATGGAAAGGTAAATTAAATGGAAATCGTGCCTAAAAGGTAATGTGTGATAAGGTCATGACGCCAAAACTTGAAGGAGGTTTGAGACTTAAGAACTGGGTAATGTGAACCAGGCTTTCGCTATGAAACTAATTTGGTTGCTCTTCTTCAAGTCTGGCTCTATTTGGTCTGCTTGGTATATTACAGAGGTTCTTGAAGGCGATCTCAACAATTTCTGGGCCATCAACACAAAGCAAAAACATTCTTGGTTAGAAAAGCACATACTGCTACTTTGAGACTCTGTTTCCGGGGATTAGATTTGTGGTGGAAAATGGTGAAACATGTTATTTTTGCTCAAGCAACTGGTTCCCATTCGGGAACACTAAGAGGTGGAATGATCACATCAACTTGGTATTCCTCCAATGACGACTTTAGCAGAACTGTGGGAGCTCGGTTCTTGGAATCTCCTTCATGCACGTTCTAAAAGCCAAGTAAATATTCAGTCCTACATATCTACTATAACTCTATCTAACTCTAGAGATGAGTACATTAGATGCTAAATGAGAAGAAATCAGTGTCCTACTCAGCTAGAACTACTAATGACTTACTGTGGGAGACTCAACCTCGGGTCTCTTGGTATAAAGAGGTTTGAGCTTCAGGTGGGTTCCCAAAGAATCGGTTCCTCACTTGGATTTTTTCTAGATAGATGCTCAACTAAGGATAGGATGGCTTCTTGGGGATTAGACCTTGATCAGACTTTCATTTTATGTAATTCTACCTATGAGATTAGGGGCTACTTGTTCTTCAGATGCTCTTACACTTGGGACATTTGAGATTCATTAACCAGAATAAGCCCCTTCAATTCAACTAGGAATTGGGATGACATCTTGCAAGCCTTGAGATGTTCAGTTCTGACGGCGTCTCCTATTCCTTCTAACCTGGCAAGCTACGATCTATTACATTTGGTCAGAACACAACAGTTATCTTCACATTTCCTCTTTTTGGTCACCATATATACTCATCAAGATGATTGACAAACTCATTCACCTCAAGAA